CTCCTTCTTCCCACGAGTGAACAAAGCATATCGTCTTAAGTACCACCCAATTCCAATAATATCTTGTCTTTGCAATATCTGTCCACGTGGTGGGGACTTGGCTATCTGCACCACAATACTTATGATGCGTGTGATATTTTGTAGTGCATATGCCATTTTAAACGCGACGTGACATGTAATACGTAGTAATAGAAATATACAAAATGGAGTGCGTGAGAACAAACTATTACAGGCACAATACCTACGAGTTAATGCAGCCAATTTACCCAACGATTGTTTTTATTGCATGGAGATGATGAGTGACAAAACTGAAACTGCAAAGGGCAGCCGAAGGAAGGGGCAGAGACAACTCTATCCAATGAAAAAAAAAAAAAAAAAAAAAAGGGCTGATGTAAAATCGTGCAGATGTAATTAAAATAAAAAAGATAAGAATGAGAGAAACCTCTCTGTACGTACTAGTAATACAATTACTTATTTGAATTTGTGCGATATTGATTACAGTGATTGATGATATTATACAGTTATTTAAAACTTATTTGTATTAATTTGTTTACCGATCATCTGTGTAAAAATAATATAATTACTGCTTTGAAGATCAAGAGTGAGTGTAAATTAATTAATTACGCCCCTGCGTGGAGAGCATAGATAAACTCGCGAGGGTGATGAAAGGAGGATTAATTAATTGGTATCGCGCACAATCTTTATTTTTTCCTCTATACCCCACTATACTACAAGTGCACAGAGTTGCACCACCTCAACTACATCTCGATGTTTAATAAGTACTTGCTCGTCGATTTTCATCAAGTCAAAGAGTTCATGGCAACATTCAATGTCGCTCTCTGGTTCAAACGGAACTTATTTAATGACAAGGGAGTGCAGTACTCAATTATCATTATCGTTATAATCTCTGTTATAATTATCATTTGCTCCCGCACTTTGATACTAGGGATAAATAACGTATTGTTACATGAGCACCGCGCCTCGCGTCCATCCAACTTTTCGCATTCACTTCTTTATTTGTACTTGTGTAAATTTTTCCTCTCGGACGATTCAAACTTGATTTTCTCAAATGTTGATTGGTGTTGCAACCTTTGCAAAAAATGTCAATAAATTTGGATCATTACAACGATATTCAAGATGACAATTAAAGTGATCAAAAAATATGTTTGTCGAAAGTATTTAATCGCATAGCTCGTAAGGTTGGGAATAATAATTTATTTTTTCCAAGCTATTGTTTGATTAGCATTAACAACAACATCAATAATAATAATAATAATAATAATAATAATAATAATAATAATACTAATAATATTAATAATGTATGTATATACACGAGAGCCGCTTGGCCGCCACGACGATGAGCCAGAGGGAAGTCGAAGAAATAGGGGCTACGGTGGCGCGACGTGGCGGTCTGTCCTTCCACAGCTATAGGCCTTGTCTCTCAGGTATATAATATACACTCGTCCCGTGTTTGCGTGCACACGATTGTAGATACCAAGTTATCGGGCCAATCGATTGTACAAGTAAATCGAGCACTACTGATTCCGATCTTTGTACTTGTGATCCTCTGCTGGTATTTAATATGGTGTCTTGGGTATCGCTTTGTAATTGGACGGCTGGACAATGCTGTTTTGACTTGGATTGCGTATTTTGTAAATGGTGTCGAAGGATTGGATCCAAGTAGCGTCAAATTTTTTTTTTTTTTTTCGTAAAGTGCGTGAGGATTAGTTTCAACAAATGAAGCTTTTACAGACTTGATGCATTACACCTAAACTGAAATATATATGAAACGTATTGCACTTATCTGGTAAAAAAATAAATTTTCTGAATAATGTATTGAAAACAGTAATGAGTAAAACATTTTCTTATCCAAAAAATGCAAAAATTTTCTTTCGTAGCGTTTTGGAATCCATAAAATAGTCTTGCCAATATCTAAGCGCTGTATACACTAGTATGTTAAGAGAGATATGGGGAGCTCATTAAAGTAGGCGTGTGATTTACTTTGCTGCGGAATGATTGTACGTGAACCACGGATACTACATGGTCACTCTTGTAGGTATTGCTATGCATATAGGTGAACAAATTAATGATCTGTTTCGCAAACTTGTTGATTCCAGTGATCAATCAAATACGAAATTGTTTATGTTGTAATTTAGCTAATCTTTTGATTGCTATCATCAACAATTTGTACTTTATTTAATTTTTGTTGTAATTCAATATTATTCACATATATGTGGAACCGCAAAATGGCGATGATATAAAAAATATACAGCATGAAGAGGTATCATTAGTTGATTAAAACTGGAAAAATATTCAGTTAAAAGATGGTACAGAAAAACTTTAGTCTTAAAGTCGGTCCAACAATTCCACTCAAAC